CATATTTGATAAGAGATTAACATCCAGAATATATAGAGAACTTCTGAAACTCAAAAATGACAGCAAAGACTCAATTCAAAGGTGGGCAAAGGACTTGAATAGACATTTCTCCAAAAAAGACATACAGGTGGCTAATAAGCACGTGAAAAGATGCTCAACATCACTAATCATTACGGAAATGCAAATCAAAACTACAATGAGATACCACTTCACACTCATTAGGATGGTTATTATTTTTAAAAATGGAAAATAAGTGTTGGTGTGGATATGTAGAGCTTGGTGGGGATGTAGAATGGTGCAGCTACCATGGAAAACAGTGTGGCGGCTCCTCAAATATTGAAAATAGACTTACTGTATGATCTAGCAATTCTACTTCTGGGTATATACCCAGAAGAAGGGAAAGCAGGGTCTTGAAGAGATACTTGTACACCCATTTTCATAGTAGCATTGTTCACAATAGCCAAAAGGTGGAAGAACCCTAAGTATCTATTGATGGATAAGTGGCATATACATGTAATGGAGTATTTTTCATCCTTTAAAAAGAAGTAAATTCTGACACATGCTATAAAGGTGAACCTTGAAGACATTATGCTAAGTGAAATAAGCTTGTCAACAAAATGATAAAATATATATGATTCCACTGATATGAGATACCTAAAGTAGTAAAATTCATAGACAGAAAGTATAATGGTGGTTGCCAGGGGCTGCGTGGGGGAGGGAAATGGAGCGTTACTGTTTTAAGGGAATGGTATTTCAGGTTTGCGAGATGAAAAAATTTCTGGGGATGGATGATTGCACAACATTATAAATGCATTTAATGTCACTGAACTGAACACTTAAAAATGACTAAGATGGTAGATTTTTTGTTATGTGCCTTTTATCACTATTCTTAAAAATTAACTAAAAATCTCATTCATTCACTCATTCATTTTGTGATATTTCAGGCACTGTGTTAAGGGCCAGGGATACAATCATAAATATGATTTTGTGCATGCCTGCAAGGAATTTACAGGCTCTTGGCTGTCAGACAGGTGGGTACAGTGTGACCAGGGCTGTGGGAGCTTGTCAAAGGGGCACCTAAGTTCCCTATGTATGTTATATCCAGCATATGTTTAAGAAATAACATAAGTGGGCAAGGCAATAAGTACTACAAAGTCTGTGCCTTAGATTCATTATCAGAAAGCTCTCTCCTAGGCAGAGGGGACATGGTGAGTCTGCTACTACCCACGTGGTTTGGTTCAGAGACCAGAAAATGATTTGCAGGGAATATTATTGAGGGTATTTCTATGTTATTACAAACACGTGAACATCATCCTTTTCTTCTCTCACTACTCCTTCCAAATGGAATCTTTTTATTGATATTATTACTATTCTGTTCACTCAACTCCCACTTCCAGTATTCTTATCTGGGTTTTGACAACAGCCTCATCTTCCAGTAATTCATTCTCTGCGCTGAAGCCAGTCACCCCTACTTAAAACACTTCAGTGTCTCCACTTTCCGCTCAGAATAGTCCAGGCTCCTTAATGTGGTGTCTGAGTCAGCTCAGCCTGCCGTGAGAAATGCTATAGACCCGGTGGCTTTAATGACAGGAGTTTATTTCTCATTGTTCTGGAGGCTGGAAAGTCCGAGGCTTAAGGTGCCTGTCGTTGGGTTCCCTGGTGGAGGCTCTCTTCCTGACTGCAGAGAGCCTTCTCACTGTCCTCACATGGTGGAGAGAGCTAGCTTGGGTTTCTCTTCTTCTAAGGAACCTAATGCCATCATGGGGGCCCCACCCTTATGACCTCATCTAAACTTAATTACCTCCCAAAGGCCCAACATCCACCTGTCATTTCATTGTGTGTTAGGGCTTTGACATGTGAATTTTAGGGGGACAAATATTCAGTCCATAATATGTGGCTTCTACAGCCTTTCAGAGCCTCTGTTTTCCTCTTCATCCCCATCTCTCCCACTGCTTCCCTTTAGTCTGCAACCTAGCCATACTGCCAGCTGGCAATACTTGAACGTTCCTTGTTCTTGCTTCTTTCTGGGTCTTTGTATAAGTCATTCCCTCTGCCTAGAATGACTTTCCCCTCTTTTGCTTGGATAACTCCTTGTCCTTTAGGTGTCTTCTTCAGAGAAGCGTCCTTGCCCCCAAATCAGGTCAGGCGTCCTTAATCTGTCTTCCTGCTCTTGAGTGCCATGTGCATTTCTCTGCTGAGGCTTTTATCACTCTGTCTGGTTTATTTGTCTTTCCTGCCCCACCACCTACCACCCCAATGAACTCCTTGAAGGCAGGACTGGCCTTGTTCACTTCAGCACCTAGTGACTTCTAAGGTATGCACAACGAATATTTTCCTTTGTATAGCACTCTGCAGTTTTCAAAGTGTCTTGACACAAATTAACTCATCTATAGAGATATAATTATATTTCGTCACTTAACATTTATTCCTTCTGAATAAAACATTCAGTTTAAAAATATTACTTTTCCTGACAAGATTTCTGTAAAGTCAGTTACCCACTGTGTCACTAATGTGACTGTGTCAGGGCCCAAACTATCTCATTTTTGCCTAGTTTGATCTACTAGAAGGTTGCATGAAAAAGCAGATTTCTTTTTGTAACAAGCAGGACCCTATGGGCCCTTTCTGGGATGGGCCCTTTCTGGGACAGGCCTCTCCGCCATATCCTCTGCATTAGCTCCTCTCTGAAGTACCTAGATAATTGTTATCTGATGCATATTTCCTGAGTTGTTTTACGGATGCTAAAACCCCCACCAGATGGAAGAAATTTACTACTTGATGACCACAAGCACATAGCCCCCAGGCCTATTGGTGCCTAGGGATTGATAATGTTAACTCCTGTGACACCGCCCTGTTAACTCACCATCAACCAATCAGAGAATTGTGCACGAGCTACTACCCTGGGACGCCCCTCCCTCACCTTGTCTTAAAAATGCTTTGCTGAATCCATCAGGGAGTTCAGGCTTTTTAAGCACTGGCTGCCTCTGATTCCTTGCACTATGCCCTGCAGTAAACGCTGCACTTCTCTTCAGCACAACCTGGTTTCAGTAGATTGGCTTTACTGTGCATGGGCAAGCAGACCCAAGTTTGGTTCGGTAAGGTTTTGAATGACCTGATGGAGGTAAGTGTCGGTAGGGGTGCAGAGGGGGAATGCGTGTGGCTTCCCTGTGTGGGTGGGCCTCAGCTGGTGATTTGACCTCATGAGTTTGCATCTCTGGATTCCTGATGGCAAAAATTGGGGGTAGGACTCGGAAGGGAATTCCTATGGCTTGAAGGAAGCTGTCTTTTAATTCTTAGACTTACAGAACTTTAGAGTCTTAGGTCATTTGGTTCAACCTCTGCCTTTAACAAGTAGGGAAGGAGATGTAGTATTTTGCCCGGTAAACCTCAGAAGACCTGTTACCAAATTCAGTTGTATGGACCCTGCTTGGGTCTGTCCTACCCCAGCCGAGGCTCTCTGCCTCAGTGAGGGAGGGTTCTTTTCCCATTTGTGTTCAAGTTGGTGAATAATGAAACCAAAGCTGAGACTGACAGCACAAGCTTTGTCCCGTGGCCAAAGAATGGAGAAGCAGGAACCAAGTTCACTGATCAACTTCTTGCCCACCTGCAGAGAGGGATTTAATTTTAAAGAGTGAAAACACAGGGAGGAGGAGGGAAGCTAATAATGGGGAGGCATATGCATTAGTCTAAGAGGGAAGGGGAAGGGCTTTTCCGAGGCGGGGTGCCACCCCCTTTTAATCCTTTTTTGGTCCTTAATGTCCGATCATGGCCACCAGTAGGTGTGTCATTTAATATGCTAGTTTAGTAAAATCAACATATAATGAGACTCTTTTTCTGTTGGAGGCCAGATTCCTTGCCATCTTGATCCCAGCTGGTTCCATCTGGTTTTGTTTGTGGCTTCCTTATATCTGGACCCTTTAATTAAAGATTTTATGTTAACTCCTGCTAACGGTAGGGGTTGGCCGGTTGTGAGCAAAGACCTGGAGCAGCTGTGTTAGCACTCCCACCAATCTTGTTTTCCCTTCCCCAAAAGCCTGAAGTTGGAAGCCACTAGGCTTCTGATCCCAGTCAAAATATCTCTCAGAAGCATTTATCCTCTCTGTTTCAGCATCATCATCTGGATAGTATGCTCTGAGCAGATGGTGTGTTAGCATTGCTACATAGAAATTCATGGAAGACATAGTCCTTGGCCTCTAGGAACTTAGACAAACCAACCTGGAGTTTAAAAATGATTTACACATGCCATCATATGAAAAGAAAATTTTAAATATGGGTTTTTTTGTTTGTTTTGTTTTTGGGGGGAGGTAATTAGGTTTATTTATGTTTTATCTTTAATGGAAGTGCTGGGGATTGAATTTAGGACCTTGTGTATGCTAAGCATGCACTCTACCACTGAACTGTACCCTGCCCCTTAAATATGGGTTTTATTTGAAAACCAAACAAGACATTAAATCAAAATACTTTTTAATTTTTTGACTTTTGTTTGGACTTTTTATTTGTATATATAGATAATCTCAAATTATGATTTAGATTTAGGAAAGTGTTGAGGGTAAGTGGATATTCATTTTTTTCCCCAGGGTGCAAAGGAGTCAGAGCAGGGAAGGAGGGATCACATCACTGAGCACTTCCTGTGAGGTGGGGACTGTCATTCCTACTTCTCCGTAGGACTCGGAGGTGCAAGGATTCCCCGTGATTAGGTTACTAGGAGTGTGTGTGAGTGTGTGTGTAAGGTGAGGTTTGAACCCAGTTTTTCACCAGAGCCACATAGGCTGCTAAGGAGCAGAAAAGGACTGGCATTCTGGGTCCCCATTATCGACGTGAAATATGGCCAGTTAAGTTCAGAAGGAGGTCATCTGGTTCAAACCCGCCTTTTACAGATGGAGGAGCCGAATCCCTAGGGTAGAAGGCAGTGTGTGCGTTTGGGCCCGATGTGACTCAGTGCTGACAAACAGAAAGTCTGAAGTGAGAAAGGGAATTTCCATCCAAGAAAGAAGGCAGAAAAGTGGCTATTCTCATTCCACACTCAAGGTGTGAATTCCTTTATTGAGTCATAATCATTTTCTAAAAATTCTGGGACCTGGTACTTAGGCTTTCAATCCAGCATTTACCTCTTTATCCCTAAACTCTAAACCCTCTAAGGTGCCTCATAGTCCAGGGGGTGGGGGGCTGCATGGTAGTGAGGCTCCCACAGCTGCACGTCATCCTCAGTTACCCCCAGCTCCTGGTTCCTTTGGTCTCACCTCTAGACATCTGTGTCATTCAGAAGCATCGTCCCAGGCACTTCCTCACTGACCAGCAAAATCTTTCGCAGGGCCTTGTCCTTACATTTGTGCTTGTACAGATTTTTTGCTTTTACAAACTGCTTTCTTGCCCAGCTTCTCCCTTGATCCTTATAACATACCAGGTGAGGTAGGGAAGGGATTGTTACTCCCATTTTACAGGAAAGGAAACCGAGGCTGCCCTCTTGTTTCTCCAGTGTCATCAGCAAACATTTACAGATCTCAGCCTCACACTGACCCAGCAGTGCTCCTTTGACAAAGGTTCTAGACTTTCTCTTTTTCCTCTTTCCTAGAATGCCAGTGGATGCTACACAGCAGACACGTTTCAAATATGGCTGATTGAAGGCTGTGGTCCAAAGCTTTGGCAGTGCCCTTCTAGACTCCTTAGCTGATTTCCACATGTATCACATGCCGCTCCTGTCCCATGCTTGCAGTCTTTCCTGTTTATAACTCATCATCTGATCAGATTTTTCAGGGGACATAAGTTGGCAAACTTCCATTTTATCCAAATGAATCTGTTTTGGTTTATTTCCTCTTGCCTAAATGTTAGGCGGCCAACCTAACAGGTTGCACAAATTAATATAATTTATTTTCCATCTTGTCAGTGCAAAACAAAGGTGTTCTTAAGACAAAGTACTGAAGACCAAAATCCTTCCTCCTCTCCTGTTTTTTGAGTCAGCAGCAAGTAAACAGTTCTGTAAACATGTATGGGTCCATGTCCTTGTGTGCAGGGACCCACTGTTTTATTCCATCCTTAACAGGCTTTGTCCTACTTCAGTATCAAGTGGCCTCGTCTTATTCAAAATGGAGATTCCCGAAACATCTGGACTTCCATCAAGGCCCGTTTCAGCTGCTCGTAGGTGACAAACATCACCACATTCCAGGCTCCCAGACGCAAAAAGGAGGGTGTGAATCTGATGAGAGAAACAACCACAGTATCAGATGGGGGTTACTGAGTCCCACATAGATGCACGTGCTCGCCCCGTTCTTGGTGTTCCTGCCCAGGGCTAGCCGTCTGTTAGTCACAGGCATTTTCTGTTACTGTTTAGTCTTCTCTGCTGAAGGAATTTAGGCAGAAGTTGGGGTCAAGAAAGGGAAGGGAACTAACATTTTTGAGCCGAGTTACTGTGTCAGGCAGTTAATTCTCACAGTTCTATCAGGTAGCTGTGATTGTTGCCAGTTATTCCCCCCCCTAGAAATAGAGGTTGTTAAATCTTAGTTGAAAACACCTGACTCTGTCTTGCCCCTGAGTGTTTCTGGGCTCATTTACAACCTGAGTGGCCACCCCTGAGGAGGCCCCTGCCTCTTGCTGGGCAAAAACAAGAATAATGTGACACTAAATTTGGCTAATTTTCCAAGAGCCTGCCTGTCCCATTACAGAGCAGCTGGGAGAGTCCCCATCTCAGGGGAAGAGCTCATGACTTGGCCCCTGTCTTCTTCAGCCTCTCTCCGTGAATCCCCTCCTGCCTCTCAGCTCCTGCCAGACCCTTCCTCCCACACCTTTGCCAACGTTGCTCCTTCTGCTTGGACCATCCCCTCTCCTGGCTTGGCCGGTTGCTCTTTGCTCTGTGGGACTCAGCCTGGGCACCAGAACCTCACACTGAGGCCTCTCCTGAACCTCAGTCTGGGCCCTTCACAGGGAGTATAGCACGGGGAGCAACAAATGTGAACTCGGGGGTGAGACCTGGGTTCAAATCCTAGCTTGACCAGTTTCTTTCAATTTTATTATTTTTGTTATTGTGGGGGGAGGTAATCAGGCTTATTTAATTATTTTTCAGTGGAGGTACTGGGAATTGAACCCAGGACCTTGTGCATGCTAAGCATGCACTCTACTACTGAGCTAAACCCTTCTGTCCTCAACCAGTTTCTTGAACTCAGTTTTTCTCAGGGTGTTTCCTTATCTGTAACGTGAGGACAATAATGGTCTTTCCTCCACAGAGTCATTGAGAGGACTGAATGAGTGAACGTGCAGCACGCAGCGCAGGGCTCGGTATCAGTAAATCCTCATTACATGTCACTTACTTGTTGGCTGCTCTTCAAAGGAAGCACAGCACGGGGCCCAGCACCCACGAGATGCTCCATGCATGTTGTCCAAATGAAAGGACAAACCAAGACAAGTGGCTACAGCTGAAGAGTGTAATAATGGAGGCACTTATAGGAAAAGGACTGTCAGCTGAAACTCGGTTTTGTGCCGTCATCCCAGGGTCAAGAACGTGTTTGCTTGTTGGGTCCAGTATAACACTGGGCACCAGAAAACTCTCCTCTGAGGTGAAGGTAAGAGCGCTGGGCAAAGAGCTTAGTGTGGTGTGGATGACATGCTGTTGCGTGGCGTCTACCAGTCTGGGTTTGAACCAGGACTCTGCCATTTAAACTTTGTGAGCTTGGGCAAGTTCCTTGACCTTTCTGCATCTCAGTCTCTTCCTCAGTAAATGTGGAGAACATGACCCAGTTCAAGAGGGTGTTGAGATAATATATGTGAAGTGCTTAGCACCAGGCCTAACACTTAGTGACTTTGGTCCTGGTGATTGCTAATAACCTACCCTATAGAGCACTGGCTTTGTGCTGGGGACTCTGGGAGATGAAAGCTGTATACAGTTGACCCTTGAACAACACAGGTTTGAACTCTGTGGGTCCACTTACACAGATCTTTTTTCAATAGTAAATACTACAGTACTACACGATCTGTGGTTGGTTGGATCTGTGGATGTGGAACCAGGGCTGTGGAGGAACTGCTTATGTGGAAGGCTGACTACAAATCGTACACGTGTCTGCAGCTGTATAGGGTCAGCCCTCCTAATCCTCTCATTCAAGGGGTAACTATAAGCCACCAGTCCTTGGCTGCAAGGAGCTTGCATTCTAGCATGGGGGATAATCTAAACTTAACAAATACTGTATTACAAAGTAGGAAGTGGTAGATACCATAAAAATGGTATCAAGGAAGTATTGCTGAAGTTCACAGGGAGAAAAATTTATACCTGAGAGTGTTAAGGAGGAGGTGGCATTTGAACTAGTCTTGAAGGATGGCTAAGATTTAGAAGGTGTAGATGGTGTAGGAAAGGCATTCCACCCAGAGGGAACACTTAATGCCAAGACAAAGCGGGAAAACATGAAGCACATTGGGCATTTGGGCTGCCACCCCTGGGGACCCACGGTGCTGGCAGAGGGTCAGGGAAAACTCTCAGGATTACCAACCAGCGTCTCCTCCTTTTTACCTGCCCAGTATGTTTGGGGCTGGCACTTTGACCTATGCCTACACTCCTTTTTCTCAGATAAGCCTCTCTAACTTCAAATCAGACTTGATCCGCTCTCTTTAAAAATTTCTATAGGTCTTTATACTTGTTCTCTGTGGCATTTACATCTGTGCTGTCCATCACTGCATTTCCAGATGGACCCATGTGGGCACAATCTGCATGGAGGGAAGGAAGGAAGGTGTGGAGGGAGGCCTGAGTTCTCTCTCTGGGAGAGAATGCGGAGGCAGAAGGGGAGGCTCACCCCTTATAGAAGGCTGTGGGGCCTTCCTGGGTCACTAGCTTCAGCATACAGTCCAAGGGGCTGTGGTACTGGCCTGGCAGCGAGTTCATGTACCGGGTCTTCACCACATCCACCGGGGAGGCCACCACTGTGGCACAGAAGCCGGCTCCAAAGGCAGAGACAAAGTGGCAAGGGAAGTTGTCTGTAGTGGGGAAGGGAAAAGCAAATATTGGGCTGGGAGATGGTCGCGCACTTGCTTTCTGTTCTCTGTGTGTTCATTGTCCCTAAAGAAACTGAACTTCTTGAGCATAAGGATACTGTTCTCCAAATCGCTCACAGTACCCAGGGTGGAGCTCTTGGTAAGAACTCGAGAAACAGAACTGGGTCATCCCAGAGTTGGAAGCTAATCCAGCCCAACCATCTCGTTTGAGGAAACTGAAGTCAGAAGGCGACCCTTGCCTAAAGGTGCATGGGAAGAAGTTGTGTCAGCCTGGAATCCAGGTCCCTGGCCTCCTGTCCAGGCTTCTTTCCTACTTGTCATAATGATGTACTGGGCACTGCCCCTCTCTACACTCCTTCTAAAGCCCAGTCTGCTCTGGGTGGTGTCCACTCTGTAGAGTCCTGGGTTCCCTCCCTGCTGTGGGAGGGCTGTCTGCCTGGAGCCCAGGGCCTCACCAGTGAGCAGGTGATAGTCTAGCAGCTTCTCCTTGATGACGTCGTAGGTCACCACCTCAGCACAGTTGACAATGGCATTCCTCGTGATGTTGGGCAGAGTTCCTGTGAGGAAGGGGCTGAGGCTGATGAGTGGGGAATAGGAGAAGTGGACCCCCCTGGCTGCAAGGCCACAGGCCACAGGCCACAGTTTGGGGGACATTGTGCCCCATTCCACTGTTCTCAGAGGAGCCTACCTCAGGTGGGCTGATTCCACAGTTTCCTTTCCAGTGTTAAAAACTCAATTATCATGTCCATCTTAGAGACAGAAGACAGAGAGGCCCTCTTGTGTTTGTTTAGGCCACATTTTGAAGGATGATCTACAACATCTATCAAAATTAAAATATGCCTCCCTGAGACCTGGCTAGAACCAGAAAAGGAAGTATTTCTTTGGGAAGGGGAGGCTGAGCTCTTGGAACAGTGACAGAGTGTCTTCCTGGCATGGCCCTTGGAAAGCATCAAGACCAACCCCCTGGTTTCACAGATGAGGGATGGGCCCTGGGAGGGCACCCAGCAAGAAAGGCTGTGACCCAGGTGTCCTGCCCTTAACCTTCACTGGGTCACTGTTTCTCCTGGAAGCTTCATGTGAGCCCTGGCCATGTGTGGGAGAGACTCCAGCATTTGTCAAGGGGGCCACTACTTAGACACGTGGGAAACCCCTAAAGCCTTGTTCTCAAGGAAGACCCCTCCTCATGGCTGCTTCCCCAGTGGCCTCTGTTTCTGCTCCATGCCCTGCAGTCACCCATCGTAGGTCTTTGTTGGGGAGGCCCTTCCCTCCATCTCTACGCACCAAGAGACTGCTGAGCCCTTGAGGCCCAACTTTCATGTTACCCTCCCCCATCCAAGTCCACATTGCCTCTCCCAACCTCCAGCCCTGCACCTCTGTGTGAACCTAGCACATCCTGCCCTGTGGAATGGCCGCTCCTTGACATGTCCCATTTCTCTGTGTGAGAGCCACGAGGGTGCCTTCTATTTCATTTCAGTCTCCCTCGCAGCCCTGTATATGGTGACAGGTTGGCAAAGTGAGCTGAATTTGGGCTAGTGTGGCATGTCAATTGGGATGTGGGGATGGCTGGGATGTTCCTTAGGAATCACTGGAATCCACATGCTGGGAGCTCCCCTCCTTGCTCAGTTTCCTGCCCCAGCCCTAGAGTAGGAAAATCTCTGCCGAAGGCTCTCTGAACCTGGAGTCCAGACCTACCTTTCCACAGGCCCCGGACTCCTTCCTCCCTGGCGATGGTCCTATAGGCATCCATTGTCCCACTGTACTTCCTGTTGCTCCCGGACCCACCGTGAACACTGGCCTGAAATCGGACCTTCACCACGTCAGTAGGCTGAGCACAGGTTACTGCCATGGCCCCGGTGGTGCAGCCCGCCAAAATCCGGGTAGCGATGCTGGAGTCTGGAGAGGAGGAGAGTGAGTGGGCCAGTGTTCTGCCACCCAGCACCCCTGTGGGCCTGATGCTGATCTCTGGGGGCCGCCCCTGCCTGGTGCCTGCCTTCTCTGGGCCAGGGCTCTGGAGCTTCCTTGATGGAGGCTCAGTCTCCTAAGCATCTGTTACCAGCTCCCCACTTCCAGCTCTGCCTGAGTCGCACTGCCCTGGTCTCCTGACCCTCAGCCTAGATTCTGCTTCTGCAACCACCCTACCCCGGCACTCACGATCTGAGCCCTTGGGGGTGTAGAACTGCTTGACAGAGTCGTAGAGGCCGATGCGGATGGAGGCGAAGCTCATCTGGCGCTGCAGGCCGGCAACCAGCCCGTTGTAGAGACTGCGGGGGCCCTCGGTGCGTACCATGGTCAGGATGGTGCCCAGCACGCCGCGGTACTGTGCAATCTGGGCTGCCCGGGCCGCCTGGTTCTCCCCCTGGATCTGAGGGACACCCCGCAGCAGCGTGAGGAGCTTGGTAGGGGGTGGATGGGGCTGTGTGCAAGGGGGCCTGCCTGGGGCTGGACCTCAGAACAAGCATGATCATACTGTCACATCCCAGTAAAAATGATAGGTTTATGCAGCAGTTTCCATCTTGCAAACTGTTGTACATAGTGTGATGTTGGATCCTCAGGGAAAAAGGAGGGCAGACTTTTTCTCACTACAGGTAGTCAGTGGCTTGCCCAAACTCACACACTGCTTCCTTACTTCTTCTCACTTTATGGTTTACAAAGCAGGGCAAGGCCATGAAAGGCCCTGGCACATCATGCCAAGGAATTAAGATCTTTTGGTCTCTGGTGATGGGCAGGCAGCGAGGCAGGGTCGTGGGCAGTGGGGTGAGTGGCCTGCTCAGGGTTCTCTGTGAGGAAGAGCAGGTGGGCAGATGCTGGAGGTGCTGCGGTGGAGAACTCAGCCTCTCCATTGATGTCATCAGTGACCCTTGGCCAAAGGGCACCTACCTGCAGGCGGACCTTGGCCGTGTCCAGTGGGAAGGTGATAAGGTCAGCAAAGCAGGCTGCCGTGCCCGCCCCCAGGAACTTCACTGCCGTCGTGGGAGGCACCTCTGAAGGCTTCAGTCCAACCATGGTCCCAGAGGCTCAGCCCGGTCCCTCCAGGGCCCAGTGGAGGTCCAAGGAGAGAGGCTGCTCTGTGGGCCTGGGCTTCAGTTCATGGAGGAGGCTGCAAGAGACAGGCCCGGGGAGGGGTTGGCACCTGTGCCCTCTGGGCCAGTCCCCAGGCTCCTCTCAGCACCAGGAGGGGATTTATAAGTGAAAAGCCTGGGCATGGCCATGCTTAGCTCTGTGGATTTGATTTATAAAAACAGGTCATTTTCCTCCCTTTTCTCCTGCCATCCTCACCCTGCCCCCTCCTCCTCTTCCCCCTGCTGAGATGGGTCCTCATTGTCTAGAGGACGAAACCTTGGCTCAGGCAGGGACAAATCTGGTGCTGACTCCACACCCCAACCCCGTTCTCCTTCCCCAGCACCCAGCTGCTTTCTGGGAAAGGTCTGCTCCCTGAGGTGTGTGGAGAGCCTGGTCCTTCATCTCAACCCAACAAAGTAAACATGCCTCATGGCTCAGTTAAACTGCTGATCATCTTGGATGAAGTGCTTTTTTTTTCTAAGTCTACCTGAATATACTCAGGTATTTTTTTACTTAAAATCCTTCTCAGCCTGTAATTCCTTCTGTCACTAAGGGCATTGAGTCTGTGACTAGAAGTGTTTCCTCCCAACATTGTAGGACTCCTGGGCTGATGCTCTGCTGTGGAGACCAGCCCCAGGCCAGTCTGCTGCTCTGCCTCCCAGGGAAGTGGGGCTGAGGGGGTCCTGCCACTGATCTCTGTGGTGGTGTCTGCTGACCTGCCTGGCTCAGGACATGCCCTTTCTTTACTCACACTTCTCACACCCTCAGAAGGATGAGCTTCTCAGAAGACAGAGGAAGATCAGCCTTGGTCAAGGGAATGTGCCTCCTCCCTGCCCCCAGGGGAGCATTTGTGCCTGCCCCCATCTTACTGCTTGTGGAACAGAGCCATGTTTACATCTGAGGGTCCTGGTTTAGCCTTGCTTACCTTGGGAAGCTGGCACACCTGTCGCCCTGCGTTCTTAGAATCTGGACTTCTAGGCATGAGGCCTTTGGTACTGATGCCATCTCTTAGCAGTTCACACCCACTGGCACCCCAACTCCCATACCACCCCACTGTGTGCTGGGATCCTGGACCCGTCAGCATCCTCACCCCTGGAGCCAGGGCCAGTCCCACAGAGTTGTGAAGAGGGCAGAGTGTGCACCCCTTCTTTATAGTAATAGAAAATCCTCTAGTCCTGTGGTGAGGAAACTCAAGCTCCTGCCCTGTCTTCCCGGCTTACTGATGGGTTATAGGACCTTGGATATGTTATTTAACCTCTCTTGGGTAAATGAGAATAGTATATTACCTGTTCACCAGTGGTAAATTGGATGCCAAAAGATAGTGGTGACCATTTGAGGCTTCTTTCAGGACTGCAGCCTGCAGCTATGGTTCTCCCTGTGCTGTCTTCTCAACCCACACGGCTTCTTGGACTCTTATGCCTGTTGTCACCTTTCCCTGGAGAAGTCTGTTCTTAAGGAGCTGATGTTTTAATTCATGTTAAGGTGTAAGTGACTATCTTAATAATCAGATATTTCTTGACCACTCTGGTAGGTACTAGGGAAGGAAGGATATGGAACGAATCATGTTTGGCCCTTGCTGTCAAGGAGCTTATATTCAGGAAGACTGATAGGTGTAATTATCAGTCTTATCCGAGGAGAACAAGGAAGGTGAGATGGGGAGGATGGGTTGAGATGGAGATCACCAGCTGCTGGGTCGCGGTCTGGAAGCCTGGGTCTAATGTAGAGGAACAGCTTTGAATCCTGCTTTGAGGATGGGGGTGCTTTTATTTTGATGTTTCCCAGCATAAAGTTGCATTTAAGATTCATTTTTATTTCTAAAGCTTTTAAAATTGAGATATAATTAACATATCATGATTTTATGCATTTTGATAGTCACCAAGCTATAAAGGGAATTAGGCATTGATTCTGGAATGTTGGGTCTGAACAGCAAATGCTGATTTTCTGGATGGGGACCTCACCTAGTGTCCAAGCATAATTCAGATCATGTCACTTCCCTTTTTAAAAATTCTTCACCCACTATGCCCCCACCATTATTCAGAACAAAGTCCAAAGTCCATGCCATGACCTGTGGACCTCCCTATTACCCACCTCATGCTAAGTTCTGTGCTTGGAGCTCCAGGAAATCTGGAAAAGAGTAATAACAGTCTGTGTGACCTGCCCACAGGGGACTCTCAAGGAGTCTTGTGACAAACCCACAAGTAACTGTAGGGCTGGATGGGCTGGATCATGTCCAAAGGAGGGAACCATCAAGAAGGGACTCAAAGGAGGGAGAAACCCTCTCTCTTGTTTGCGAGGTGGGATTAGAACAGTTTCATGGTGAGAGGTGGAAGGAGGACTTTGAAAGGTGGGCAGGATGTCAGCAGCTGGAGAAGTGGGAGGGGGGTTCCAGGTTCAGGGAAGGGCACGAGCTTGACTGAGAGTCCAGGCCCAGCTTCAGGTAGGAGGAGGGAATGGCTACCGGGCTGCGAGGCCTTTGCAGTGGAGCTTTATGACACAATCTCACCGAATTCTCACAACTTTCCCGAGAGGTAGCTTTCCCCCTTTTCTCCCCTGCTTTTCGGTGAGCAAACCAAGGCTTGGAAATGTTGGCTTGCTCAGTACTACCAGCCACCAGTGTCAGGGCCTGGTCCACTCTGCTCTGCTGGGCTTGGAACGGGCTTGGAACAGCCTTGGAAAGAGGCCAGGACAGTGTTTAAATCCATCTGACAGATGAGAAAAGAAAGGCTTAAGATGGAAAGAGACTTCCTCAAATTCACAGTACTCCAGCCAGTTTCTTGTGAAGGCAATAAAGCTCCCTTCACGGGTCATTCTACTCAGGGGCCCCAGTGGAAGTGGGAGTATGGGTATCTACCATCTTACCTTTTTGCTGAGGACAGTCAAAGCCCTTCACAGTTACTAAATTATATGCCAACCCCGTCTCTGGGGAATTAAATGCTAAGCCTATGGAACAACAGCTTGGTGAGGAAGTCTGGGCAGGCATCACTGTCCAGTTTGGCAGAGGAAGAAAACGTGCCCAGAGAGGCTGAGATCCGTGCACCTGGCACAGTGGGGCTTCGGGCTCCCTCTGCAGTGCTCCCCACACCGCCTATCCGTCTGCCTTTCTGCGCTGCCTCCCTGAGAGGGTCCAAGGAGAATTTGGCTCCTTGGGAGGCTGGTTTGGAGCTGAATCTGGACAGCACTGCAGATGTGCTAGGGGAACGTGGCCTCCACCTGCCTCCTTCTTCACTCCGTTTTGCCCTGCAGAAGCCCCGAAGCTGCCAGGCAGGCCCAGTCCCCAGCAGGGAGGCTGTGGCTCCTCTGTCCAGGTCTGGAATGCATGTGTGGTGTGTGTGGGAGCACATGCCTCTCCCAGTGCCTGCATCCTGTTAGCCCTGCTTCCCTGGAGCCCTGGCATGTCCCCTGCTCTTCCCTCCTCTGACAGGAGCGGGACTGCTCTGAACCTCAGATTCAGGAATTTGAGAGCCTGACCCTTAAGGCAGAGACCTTCTCTTGGAGAGACCTTGGGGCTTGTGTTCTCTAGTGTCTCTTATAGGCTGTATGAGTGTCCCTTCTTCAAACCTCTGGAAGCTACCCAGGCTCTAATACAAGAAGCCTACACTTCCACTTATGAGTTATGAACTGAGGAGCAGAGGTGGGATTCGTCCACGGCTGTGTGACTTGGTGCATCCCCTGCCCTTGGCCCCTGGTGTGGAGTGTTCAGGCCCTGCAGGGAGCACTTTGTGGGCTTTGCCCTATGGGCTGGGTCTGTCTCCCTGGGGACACCTGTGTCCCCTGAGCAGGGGCTGACTGTCAAGCACTGCTTCCGTTCTGAACCTCCTCTGTCCTCAGCTGCCTCTGTCCCACACCTTCTTTAGAATTAGCCCATTAACTGCAATGGTTTCCCCCCTAGATGGGGCCCTAAATCTGGGACAGGGGCTACTTATCTTGCTGCTCTGTGCAGCCTGGTACAGGGATGGCCCAGGGAAGATCAGTTGACCAACAGACCCCCACTTGCTGAGGTGGAGAAATGGGCAACAAGATGAGATGTTGTTCTTTGAGGGCCTCAGATGCCATGGCTATACTTAATCTAGCAGAGAAAGGGGACTTGTTTGTGGTTCTCAAGTTAAGGAATGACACCATCATTCCTGTGTTTGGATCATCGTGGTGCAGATGTAGAGGATGGATTAGAAGCAAGTGACTAGAGGCTAAGAGACCAGTGAGGAGGTTGATGGGAGGCAGCAAGTGGTGGTGGAGCCTGAACTCGGACAAGAGCAGAGGCAAGGGATGGAGCCGGAGCCCATTCTAGAGGCTGTCCTGACCCCTCCGTGGGAGGGATGGGCATGGGCTCAGGCAGGGAGGGCTCTAGACTTTGACTGGTTAAGTTGGGTGGGGTGGGGGAGACCACAGTTGGCCCAGGTAGGGGCTCTGAGGTCAGTGCTCCCCGCCCTCCACCCCCCTTTACTCTAGCCTCCTGAATTGCTACATTGGTACTTGGGGAGCACCAGCAGACCTTTGTGAAAGTGAAGCATAGAGCAGAACCCTCCTCCTTGTTGCCCTGCTGGGGCATGTGAGGAATGGGGAGTTCTAGCCTCTATGACACAGCGTAGTGGTGCCCCGTTCATGTGCTTCCATATCAGGCACTGAGCTGAGGGCTTTACAGGCACTGACTAATTCAACCCTATTTATAAGGCTACGTTGCTATGATTGTTTCCATTTCAAACACAAGGGCCCTGGGGCTTCGAGGGCTTCAGCTAATCATAAGGCTAAAGAGTGAAGGTGGGATTGGAGTCCAGAGCCCCTGCCTCTTCACCACCCAGAGTCTCAGACTTCCAGGAGAGCTCAGGATCTTGGAGCTGCTTGTTTACAGAGTGGATTCTTGGCCTTCAACCCCAGAGATCCCGATATAGGGCTGAGCTGGGGCCTGGGAATCTGCATTAGAAACAAGTTCTCCATGGTGGTTCTGAATCAGGGGTCAGAGGACCCTGTTCTGGGATGCTGTGCCCGACCCCACCCTCTAGCAAAGCCTCTACTGCATCCCTGCCAAGGAAGCTGTCTGAGCAGACCCAGGGGTGCCCCCCAACCCCTACTCAGGAAAGGGGTTCTCATGGGGAAAGGGTTTTATACTCTGGAAGGATCCTGGGGACTCTGGGCCAGACTAAGGAGAAAGCCACATCCCATCTACAGGGATTTGCAAAATCATAGCAGGGACAGCCAGAGAGCAAGGGGGAAGCGAGTCCTGGGTGAGTGACACAGGTGTTGGGGTTGAGTCCCAGCCCGGCCACAGCATCCTCATCAGGGCTGCTATTCTGTCTTGTCTCAGTCTCTATGGGCTCTGTCCTGCTGCTGTTGGTGAACCCTGACAGCTCCTGGCTGCTCTCTGGGCGGCTGTGAGGGGAGAACTTGGAGGAAGGCAGGGTGGAGATGGGGTCTTACCTGTGAGTCCAGCCAGGGTGGAGGAAGCACAGGGCCTCCTTAAGGCTCCTCAGGGCTCCATCCTAGGAGGTGGCAGCAGGGATCTGATTGCCCCTTTGCCATTCTCTGTTGTCTCTCCCACCTCCGGCTTGGCACCTGTTTTTATACACTCCCGCTGACCTGAAACCTTACCCTAGAGAAGCTAGTTGACAGCTTGATCACTTGACCAGAGGTGGCTGGTGAGGGGGAAGGTCAGAGTTCCAGATCTGCTTCAGCTCCTTTGACTTGGGGTTCTTTAAAATAGCTCCTCCCAGCTGATGAAAGAAGAGCTACCTCAGGTGATAAGGGCATATATGGGGTTGGGGGTGCTTGGACCTGTCTCTTAAGAGTCCAAAGGTCAAGGCCTCCCATGATAGGCTGGGCAGGGCTCTCCCGGTCCTCCTCTTAATGCTAACAATGATAACTGTCATTTCCTGGTGCCTACTATGTGCTAGAAACTTTACATATGTTATTTCTATTTTTCACAATCCTATGAGGTAGGTTTTGTAAGGAGTCTAAGTTTTTTAAATAAAGCTTTATTGAGATGTAATTTGCATATCACACATATCACCCATTTAAAGAGTACAGTTCAGTGGTTTTTAGTGTATTCACAGTTATGTGACCATCAGTCATCACAGTCAGTTTTAGAGCATTTTCCTTAATCCCTGCACCCTGCTAAATATCCCCATACACATCAGCAGTCACTTCCTTTCTCCCCTCCCTCCAGCCCCAGTCACTAATCTACTTTCTGTCTCTATAGGTTTCCTTGCTCTGAACATTTCATGTAAATAGAATCATACAATATATGACCTTTTGGGACTGGCTTCTTTTACTTAGCATGATTTCCAAATTCATCTGTGTTGGAGCATGTATCAGTACTTCTTCCTTTTTATGGCCGAGTATCCACACCTTAAAAATTTTTTTTTTAAATTGAAGTATATTCACAATGTACAGTTACACTGTGTCAATTTCTGGTGAACAGCACACTGTCCCAGTCATGCATATATATGTACATATATTTGTGTTCATATTCTTCTCCATTAAAGGTTATTATAAGATATTGAATATAGTTCCTTGTGCTATATGGAAAATATTTGCTTTTTTAATCTACTTTCATATATAGTGACTAACATTTGCAAATAACAAACTATCAAATTTATCCCTTCCCATCCACTTTCCCTGGTAACCATAAGATTGTTTACTATGTCTTGGAGTCTGTTTCTGTTTTGATGATGAGTTCATTAGTTCATTACTGTCCTCTTTTTTTTTTTTTTCAGATTCCACATATGAGTGATGTATTTCTCTTTCTGGCTTACTTCACTTAGAATTATAATCTCCAGGTCCATCCATGTTGTTGCAAATGGCATTGTTATTTTTTATGGCTGAGTAGTATTCCATTGTATAAATATACTACAACTTCTGTCAATGGACATTTAGGTTGCTTCCATATCTTGGATATTATATATAGTGCTGCTATTAACATTAGGGTGCCTGTATCTTTTCGAATTAGAGTTCCTTCTGGATAGATGCCTAGAAGTGGGATTGGTGGATCATATGGTAAGCCTGTTCTTAGTTTTTTGAGGAATCTCCAAACTGTTTTCCATAATGGCTGTACCAAACAACATTCCTGCCAGCAGTGTAGGATGGTTCCCTTTTCTCCACACCCTCTCCAGCGTTTATCAGTCGTGGATTTTTTTAATGATGGCCATTCTGACTGGTGTGAGGTGATATCTCATTGTAGTCTTGAAGTACATTTCTCTGATAGTTAGTGATACTGTGCATTTCTTCATGTGCCTATTGTATGTCTTCATTGGAGAATTGCTTGTTTAGGTCTTCTGCCTATTTTTGCATTGGGTTGTTTTTTTTATCTTATTAAGTTGTATGAGCTGTTTATATATTCTGGAAGTTAAACCTTTGTCAGTCACATCATTTGCTAATATTTTCTCTTATTCTGTAAGTTGTTGTTTTGTTTTACTTACTGTTTCCTTTGCTGTGCAAAAGCTTCTAAGTTTAATTAGGTCCCAATTTTTTGTTTTTGCTTTTATTTCTATTGCTTGGGTAGACTGCCCTCGGAGAACATTGCTAAGATTTATGTCAGAGAATGTTTTGCCTACATTTTATTCTAGGAGGTTTATCATGTAATCTTTTATTTTCTTATATTTAAGTCTTTAAGCGATTTTGAGTTTATTTTTATGTATGGTATGAAGGAGTGTCTATGAAGGAGTGTCCTAACTTCATTGATTTACATGCTGCTGTCTAGTTTTCCCAACATGACTTGTTGAAGAGACTGTCTTTTCTCCATTGTTTATTCTTGCCTTCTTTGTCATAGATTAATTGACCATAGGTCTGTGGGTTCATTTCTGGGCTCTCTATTCTGTTCCACTGAGGATCCACACCTTTTAATACTTATTTTACAGAGGAGAAAACTCTCAGGGAGGGACAATGACTTACTCAGATCATACAGCTAATATGTGGCAGGGCCTGATCTCCAGTCTGTGAATTATAGGGTACTTTGGCTCTATCTGCTGTGACCACTATCATCTACAACATGACGCTTGGAAGCTTCAGCATGGACACTGTTGGAGCCAAAGGGATCTGGGGAGGGTGTGTGGGGCAGGGCAGGCAGGGTCCCCTGAAGCAGCTGCTGTAGGTTCCATTGGTAGACACTGAGGGTAAGGGTTGGGCACATCTGAATGTGGGCCCAGGTGACAAGAGGAAAGAAGGGGGCAGGGGAGGATAGAGGGTGAGAGGTGAGAAGGGAAGGGAGTTAACTGGGTGGGGAAGAGGAGTAGGCAGAGGCCGTTTCTGGACTTGGGCACATAGTTATGGCCACGGGGCAAGTGGTCACGGGTCCCCATACTCAAGTGCAAAGGTCCTCCTCCTGGCACCTGCCCTAATGTCAGCAGAACAGGCAGTTGGGTTAGTGCTATGAGGGAAGGGGCTGCTAGGGCCGCTGAGGTGGGGAAGGCTCGGGAAGTAGGTTCTCGGCTCCACCCACTTCCAGAGCAGCCTGGAGGTGGTGGGTGAACTGCAGCCAGATGGGGAGGGCTCAGCAGTAGAACCTAAACAAGGGGGCAATGGGCCCTGGAGAAACCCAGAGGGCGGGCAGTCTCCACTCACGTGGGCCTAGGAGCTCTCTGAAGGCAGGACTAGGCTTGTCTGCTTTACTCCCTGTCCCCAGGATCCAGCCTGCATTTAGAAGTTCCAAAGTTGGCTGCTCTGGGCTGGGATCAGCCACCCTCTGGGTGATCAGAAACACCCATTTTCAGGGCTCTGTGGAGGGACTGCTCAAAGGGAAGTGGGGAGACATTGGCTTGGCTGGTTCTACTGGTGGTGGTGGGAACAAATAAGTACCTCATACCCTCAACCTGTGCTGCATGCTTGGCAAGGCATTTACATCTGAGCTGTTACTGGGAAATAGGTCCAACTTCTAGGGAGAAGGTAATAGTAAATAACACACTCTGTAAACGGAGGCAGGAGTTTCAGACCCTCAGGGTGCCTCTGTTACTGGACGTTGCCCTCAGTCTGGTTAGGAGCCACACCTGTCCTCCTGTGGCCTTATCCTGACTTGACCCTGATCAAGTTATTTGCAGGAGCTGGGGCAGGATTTGGAAGGAGTATTCTTCACCTGAGGCTTAACCCCTCAGGCCTGGGCCCCTGACTGCCCGTCTGTAGGTCCTCTGAGGCCTCAAGGGAGGTGAAGACCTGGGCCTTGAAAGCTCCTTGCAGGCAAGTGGCTGGTGACCTGAGAGGGGGTGAGCTGATATGCTGAAGGTTGAGGGGGTCGAGATGAACAGATGAAGGAGGACATGCTGGTCTGAGGGCAGCTGACTGATGAGAACACGCTATCTTTCCTCGGGGTTCCTGCATCACCCTGTCCCCTCTGGGGTATGTCCTGCCTGTCTCAGTGTTACTGGCCTGTTTGCCTATCTGAGGATTTGCTCTGGGAGAGTGGGGGAGGAGTGGGAGGGGCTGACATTTCCTAAGCTTCCACTAAGTGCCAAGTGCAGGCGAAGCACTTTCACAAATGTCATCTCATTTAATCTTCACAACCACCCTGTGAAGCTGGGGTTCTTATCTCTGGTTTACAGATGAGGCAACAGAGACTCAGATACAGGGGTAGTCAGGCCAGAGGGGACCTTTCAGGGAAGTGGCAGAGCCAGATTCGTCTCTTCTCTCTCCCCAGCTGCATGGGCCCTGAACGCCCCCCTGGTTCTCTCTGGGCTCACTCCAGACTTAGCTCTTCAAGGAAGCCTTCTCTGATTGCTCCAGCCCACGTGATTTCCCCCATGAATTTCTTGAACTCAGAGCACTTAACTGGCTGTACCCTGGGCATGGAAGCCTTGGGACATATCTGGAGGTGTCTTGTGTGGTGATTTACCTCCTAGGTACGTGAATAGAGCAAGACATTTCACTTCATTGAGCTTCAGTTTAACTCTAAAATGGGAATCATAATATGTGGGCTATAGAGTTATTCTGAGGACTGAGTGAAATTACCTGTGCTTGGGGGTGGAAAGCGGGGCCCCCCCATCTTAGTTTCAACCTTAACCTTCCCTCCCAGCCACTCTGCATATCTCTGTCCCCTTCTAATCTTCCCCACAAGCACTGTCTAAGATAGCTGCTCAAATGTTTGGAATCTGACTAAGCTAGAGCTACCTACTCATCCCAGAGAGATGGGGGATTCTGAGTGGGCCTGTGCCATGAGACCCCTTCACTTTGCTGATAGATTTGAGGCACCAGCAAAGGAAATACTATGCATCACCCTAATCTGGACTAACCTAATCTTTGAAGGAGTCAGAAATCTCATGGCGACCCTGGCCCCGGGTTCCAGATCAGCTTCTCTGAGGGACTGTATAGCTGTTAAGCTTTCTCTCTGGCTGTTAGAGCACAAATGCCTGACACCCGAGTCCAGTGGCCAACCCAGGAAACACTTGTGTACAGAATACAAATACTGATATGATTTTATTCAAACACAGGCAGGAACAATGACCTTCAGAGCTGGGTAAAACAGTAAGTTAAAAGCATGGTTAGAATTTCAGACAATCAGATAAAAAACGTGAAGGAGGTAATTTCCTCCTCTCCTATTGATTAATTCAACACAGCATAAAAATACATTATACCTATAAAGTACCCTTATTC